TCCACTCACTCCACTCACTCCACTCACTCCACTCACTCCACTCACTCCACTCACTCACTCACTCACTCACTCACTCACTCACTCACTCATCTTCACTCATCTTCACTCATCTTCACTCATCTTCACTCATCTTCACTCATCTTCACTCATACTCACTCATACTCACTCATACTCACTCATACTCACTCATACTCACTCACTCACTCATCTTCACTCATCTCATCTATCTCACTCACTCACTCACTCACTCACTCAGTCACTCAGTCACTCAGTCGCTCAGTCGCTCAGTCGCGCAGTACAGAGAGCTTCCTGGCTGCCTTTTGCCTGGCAGGCGCAGTACACAGAGCTTTCTGGAGGAGCTGCGGCGCGGTGGCCGCCGCTGGCCCGCGGCTGCCTTTGCCTGGCAGGCTCAATACACAGAGCCTCCGCACTTCCCTTTTGCATGGCAGGCGCAGTACACAGAGCTTTCTGGAGGAGCTGCGGCGCGGTGGCCGCCGCTGGCCCGCGGCTGCCTTTGCCTGGCAGGCGCAGTACACAGAGCCTCCGCACTTCCCTTGTGCGTGGCAGGCGCAGTACACAGAGCTTTCTGGAGGAGCTGCGGCGCGGTGGCCGCCGCTGGCCCGCGGCTGCCTTTGCCTGGCAGGCGCAGTACACAGAACGTTCGCACTCCCCTTTTGCGTGGCAGGCGCAGTACACAGAGCTTTCTGGAGGAGCTGCGGCGCGGTGGCCGCCGCTGGCCCGCGGCTGCCTTTTGCCTGGCAGGCGCAGTACACAGAGCCTCCGCACAGACCTTTTGCGTGGCAGGTGCAGTACACAGAGCTTTCTAGAGGAGCTGCGGCGCGGTGGCCGCCGCTGGCCCGCGGCTGCCTTTGCCTGGCAGGCGCAGTACAGAACGTTCGCACTCCCCTTTTGCGTGGCAGGTGCAGTACACAGAGCTTTCTGGAGGAGCTGCGGCGCGGTGGCCGCCGCTGGCCCGCGGCTGCCTTTTGCCTGGCAGGCGCAGTACGCAGAGCCTCCGCACAGACCTTTTGCGTGGCAGGCGCAGTATACACAGAGCTTTCTAGAGGAGCTGCGGCGCGGTGGCCGCCGCTGGCCCGCGGCTGCCTTTGCCTGGCAGGCTCAATACACAGAGCCTCCGCACTTCCCTTTTGCATGGCAGGCGCAGTACACAGAGCTTTCTGGAGGAGCTGCGGCGCGGTGGCCGCCGCTGGCCCGCGGCTGCCTTTGCCTGGCAGGCGCAGTACACAGAGCCTCCGCACTTCCCTTGTGCGTGGCAGGCGCAGTACACTCAGAGCTTTCTGGAGGAGCTGCGGCGCGGTGGCTGCCGCTGGCCCCTGGCTGCCTTTTGCCTGGCAGCCAGCCGTACACAGGCACAGAGCCTGGCGTGGCAGGCGCAATACACAGCTCATCACAAATCCGCACAGCTCCACTTCTGACAGGTCCACTTCTCATCACAACTCATCACAACTTATCACATCCCAACTCATCACAGTTCCACTTCTCACACCTCACTCTCCCTTATCACATCGCAACTTCTCATCACACCTTATCACAACTTATCCCGTCACAGCTCCACTTCTCATACCCCTTCTCACACCTCACTTATCACATCAGAACTCATCACAGCTCCACTTCTCACACCTGGCATCACAAGTCCATTTCTCACACCTCACTTCTCACACCTCCCCGAAGTTCACATTAAAATCTTACATACATAAAGGCTTGACATGTGGGGTTATCCGGTCCTTTTATTATGACTACTACTATTGGTATAATCCCATTATTATTGGTATTATAATCCCTATTTTAAACCAAAAACCCGGAGGGATTCAACCAGAATTGCAGAAATCAACGAAACCTCGTTGGAGATGTCACCAGCTATCAGAATCGATTCCCGTGCTTTGTTTCGACCATTGGAATCCCCAAGGTTTCCTAAAATGGTGATGCCCCAGATCATTCAAAATTCCACAATTCTAGTACTAAAACCCATGGTGACTTGGGTAAACTCATTGTGGAAATCGCCACACCTTCGATGCCCAGGAGAATTCTGAAGAAGTTGTATTAGCGTTTTTGACGTCGCGCCTTGCGACAAGCACTGCAATCTGCTGCGACATGCGACGCATGCGATGCGCGACAAGCACATCGCACAGCTTCAGGGCTGTGAAAGTCGACCAGCGGCTGCCCCAAGAGGGGCCCTTTTTTTGCTTCGTTTAACTTCGTTTCTTCCCTCTTAGTGTCGGGAACCACATGGGTGGCGATCGGACTGGGCCATGAAATCATCTGGGCTAAATTGCTCGACCCCAAATTGAATGTAGCCCGTGTTTGTTTTTTGTTCATATATTCTGATATACCGTTTTTGCCCCATTAATATCCCTTTGACATCCCATTGAATCCCCAAGTGACGAAGTTTACTAGGAGGAAGCATGAAGCATCCATAGTATTCAAATGCTTTAGTGGCCAAGTACTGCCCGTCTTGTTGGCGTCTACAGATATTTGTGGTTTTCATACCCACAACAGGTCTCATGTTTATTCTATGTGTATATACATGATATGACAAGTGATAATAATGATATTGACACTCATTATTTTGCCTGATACTTTCCACAAAAATGCCTTTCCCAGCTGATATTGAATAATACAGCTAGTACATGTTTGTCAACGTGACAAGTGATGCACCATGCCGCCATGCCCAGCGACGTCTCCATTGCGTGGCGAACACCTGTGGATTCTGTCGAAAGTTTTAGCACTGCGGGCGGTCGTTCCCCAATGAAGGATGTGACACGTCCAAACAAAACCATGGTTTTGGTGGGGGATTAACACTTATTTGGGACCATAGAATGGGGATGTTGCCTCGATGATTTTCCCACGAACAAATCCCATGAAAATATCGGATTTCCCGTTGCCACATTTGATTACGGGGTAAATGAATCTGTTGATCTATGTTAGAAGTGAATCTATATTTAAAAAAACTGTAAAAACATGTTTTTTTATCGGGCAAATTGACCTGATTCAATGCTTTGCGGCCCTGATCATAAATAGCAGAATCATAAGTTTCTGGTAAATAATAACGAACTCACTGTCCTCACCATAAAATCATGGTCAATAAGGGAAACAACAGGGAAATCATCCCTATGTGGGCCGCAAGATTCAGGTTAGTGAAATATTATAATTTACCCAGATCAATGTGTGTGTGGGTTGATTTTGGAAGCCAGTTTGACCTGAAAAATCCATCTATCCTTTCATTGAGTAAACTGACTTGGTAAATATATGCAGTTTTCGATGGATCCCATCCAACCAATATCAGCGTGTGCAACTCTCCGCCATAACTTCTGGGATGGTTAAGCGTAGAATCGCTTCAAAAATGATGTGACCAAAACATGGTTGGCAAAGTATACCCCAGAAAAATGCCAAACATATGAATCTCATATAAATGCCGTATATTTCCATAGTTTTTTTGCAAGAACTGGTTTCCCAAACTGCCGGCCGTTTCTCTTTTGTGGCGACTGCCGCAGCTGAATTCTGACGCGCCTCGGAATTTTATTCTGACGCCGGGCCGAATTCAGAGGACCGAGGGTTTTTTTCAACAGTTGTTTCCATATTGGCCTGAAAAAGGAGCTGATGTTTTCCGGATGTTCTGCAAAAAATATGTAGATCATATGACTGGTTGGTGGTTTGGAACATTTTTTATTTTTCCATACATTGGGAATTTCCTCATCCCAACTGGTCCGAACTCCTTCATTTTTCAGAGCCTATTGAATATCCTCATTTCCAATCTATATCCCATTTATAGCCCATAAATTTCATCCCATTTATAGCCCATATATTCCAACTGGGTGAGCTAAGATGTCTAATTCAGGGTGTCCCTGAAACAGATTCACTCAGAATGTCGTGTCGGGTCGCCGGTATCTCAAGTCATGGTGGAAAACAACGCAGACACAACTGGTTGTTAACAGTACCCTCTGGTAAACTAACAGTTTGCGAACTGGAAAATCACCATCTTTAATGGGTAACTCAACCATAAATGGGCCATTATCAGCAGCTATGTTAAATTACCAGGGGGTATCTATGCATGAAATATGGATACCCAGCATCTTTGATGTTCAGTAATTGCAAGCTTTTTGCTGGACCTGACCACGTTGAATCCGTAGGATTTCCACTATGTAAGAAAATCGAGCAGCCACACACTTTCTATATGTCAAAACCAGTAATCGTGTCAATGATCACACTGGTATCACGCAGATATCCTCAATTGTTTCACTTGTTTCATTCTATCATGATAAAGAACAAGTCCTATTGAGGATATCAATGAAAAAACAATTATTCTAACATATTGAGTTTCATCTTATCAAGTTCAATACCATTTATCGTTCTAACATTTTGAAGAACTTAAGTTGCACAATTTAGCTAGCCACCACACTAGGGATCTCACCAACAAAAATCGGACATTGCCAACCTTGACATCAGAAACCATGACATCAATAGCAGAGAAAAAATGGAACGGAACTTTGAATATTCACCAAGTAAAATCGGACATTGCCAACCTTGACATCAGAAACCATGACATCAATAGCAGAGAAAAAATGGAACGGAACTTTGAATATTCACCAAGTATCAAGGTTTGAGGGGCCAATTGTGTCTGACTTTTTTGCAACTCAAAAATCGCCCAAGGTCTTGCGAAACCACAGGATCAGGACCATCAACACCCACGGCCGCAGCTGACAAGACTTGAAGGCTCAAATCATTCAATGCCTCATGAGTTCTTGCCGCTACACCTGTCAGATCACGTCCTGATCTTTTTTTGTAGCTCATTCTTATCCCATGTCTTTCCAAAAAACATTCCAACCCAGCTCCAAAGTGTGCCCCAGTTCGGAATTGCTAAGTTAGTGAACATAACTCCCGTAACTGTTGGGTTTATGGTGGGTATATCTAAAAAAACATAGCTGTATGTATGGCTGAACCTTTCAACACCCACAGCCCCACAGCCCCACAGCCCCACAGCCCCAGATGGCTTCAAGCCTCGCGCTGTGCCGTTTTTTGGATGACACGCACTGATGGCAATGAGGACGCAATGGATCAGACGTTGTAGGAAGATGGCTCGAAATCTAAAAAAATGCAATTTTTGTTTGGGCCAGGTCTATGTTTATGATGTTTATCGTCCCAAAAAGAGATCTCTGCATATGTAGGTCGTTTTTAATCTCTTCGATGTTAATGTCATAAACCCACATTCTGATGGTATAAACCATCATAAACCATCATTTTTATGGGTGTTATAAACCATCATAAAGTGATGGACATAAACATCACTAAACCCACATGATAAACCCACATTACTAACTATTGATGGTGTTGAAACCCACATTCTGATGGTTTCTGATGGTTTATACCACCCATAAAAGGGTAAATTTGTGGCCCATCTCCGGTGCCAGTCTTGCGAGGACCAATGGCGTTCGCTGGAGGCCCCCCGTCGAGTTCGCGAGCGTTCAGTTGCCGAAAAGTGGCTGAATTCTATGGGTTTATGGTAGATATAACGAACCACATTTACCATAAACCATAGAATTATAATTATAATTATTGTAGAATGGAATAAATGTGGGTTATGATTCTATAAACCATTTATGGTTAATGTGGGTTATAATTATAACGGTTTCTAAATGGTGATACTGTGGATGGTTGCGAAATCCTGCACCAGTTGGCAACCGTTAGGTAACTATGAAACACGGTAAAGAATGGGATTATAAGGGGATAAACCATATACCAAGTGATGCAGAATTTCTTCCATCCACAGTATCAACCAACGATGTCAGATTGATTGTTGAGATTGTTGTGTGAGATTCATCAACATGGTGTCATCATTGTCAGTGATATCAACATCATGTAGTGTCTTATGACAGCTATCATCACATCAGTGAGTGATTGCTGACAGATGATTAAAAAAAATACCGGTAGTACCGCACAAGGCGGTGGCGGAAGTTTCAAAAATAGGAAACCTATAGGGGAGGTTGGTTGTTGTGAATCAGGGATGGCAGAGCGAAGCCACTGATGGACTGAAAGGTGCTTGAGGTCTCCTCTCTTTCTCTCTCTTTCTCTCTTTTCTCTCTGTTTCTCTATCTTTCTCTGATTATCTACCTACCTACCTACTGATCTATCTGTCTACCTATCTATCTGTCTGTCTGTCTATCTAACTATCTATCTACCTATCTATCTATCTGTCTGTCTATCTATCTATCTATCTATCTACCTACCTATCTATCTATCTGTCTGTTTATCTATCTATCTATCTATTTATCTATCTATCTTTTTATTTAGCTGTCTCTCTATCTATTTGTCTGTCTGGATATCTGTCCATCTATCTATCTATCTATCTATCGATCTATCGATCTATCGATCTATCGATCTATCGATCTATCTATCTATCTATTTATCTATCTATCTTTTTATTTAGCTGTCTCTCTATCTATTTGTCTGTCTGGATATCTGTCCATCTATCTATCTATCTATCTATATCTATCGATCTATTTATCTATCGATCTATCTATCTATCTATATATATATCTATCTATCTCTCTCTCTTTCATCTGTCTAGCTGTCTACCTGTCTATCTGTCTATCTATCGATCTATCTGTCTATCTATCGATCTATCTGTCTATCTGTCTACCTGTCTATCTGTGGTGCAGTGTCATTCAGTGTAATGTAGTGTAGTGCAATGTAGTGTAGTGTAGTGGGGTGTAGTGGAATGTAGTGTAATGTAGTAGTGTAGTGTAATTTTGTGTAGTGGAGTGTGGTGGAGTGTAGTTGTAGCTGTAGCTGTAGTTGTAGTGTAGTGGAGTGTAGTGTAGTGTAATGTAGTGAAGTGTAGTGGAAGGTCGTGTAGTGTAGTGTAATGTAGTGCAGTGTAGTCTAGTGGAGTGTAGTGTAGTGTAATGTAGTGTAGTGTA